GTTTGTATTCTTCTGAGGCCTCTCTGCTTGGCTTGTAGATGTTCATCTTCTTCCTGTGTCTTCACATGGTCTTCCCTCTGTGTAAGTGTGTGTCCAAATACCCTCTTAGGATACCCATCCTATTAGATTAGATCCAAGCCTAATGACTTTGTTTTAATTCTCTCACTAATGAACCTATCTACAAATATAGTCACATTTTGAGATACTGGAGGTTAAGTCTTCAATATATAAATTCGAGGGGGATGCAATTCAAACCAACTTTCTTGCCTTTTTTTTTTTTTAAACAAAAAGTAATTACCAGCAGCCTGTGTTCTGGAAGACTGAGGAGGGTGCACTTGACAACTGAGAAGTATTTTCCTAGCACCTCCTTTACTATTTGTTTGAAATTATATGTAAATTGAATCACTCAATTTAGAGATTTGCTTTCCCATTACAAATTTGTTTGGCTTATATTACTTAGCATAATGTCCTCCAGGTTCATATATATTGTCACAAATGACCGAATTTCTTTCTTAATGTTTCATTGTGTACATATACAACATTTTCTTTATGCATTCATCCAACGATGGATACCTATAAATATCTACATATTTATAGATCTATATAGATAAATATATAAATATGTTTATATTTATATATAATGGATTTTTTAGATGGATGGATGGATGGGTAGATAGATAGATAGATAGATATTTGCTGAGAGAAAAGTGCCTCAAGGAATTAGTGGCCAAGCCAAACCAACATTTTGAGCCAAAGGGGCAGCAAGGTTTAATATTATGGCAATATTTGCCTGGAGTTAGCCACAGACAGAAGAAGAAAGTCGGTGAGCACAAATCTGGAACCACAAAGTAAGTCTGGAAACCAAACTAAGTAACAGCAAACTCAACATCAGGGTTGGACCTGGATCTGATGATGTTATGATAGAAACAACAATAACCCATACTACTTTTTACTGCTTATATGAACAAGGTCATATAATAGTATTTTACAATTTTTTGTCATTTGATCCATATCACCACATGAATATGATGAATAACTACAATCTGCTTTCCCCAACCACCTCATACACATCTTTACAGATTAGGAAACACAGCTGAAATTATAATACAGGCTTTAGTCTCGTTAAACATTGGGTCAAAATATCCAAAAACAATAGAAGAACTTCAAGAATCTTGTTATAAATGAAGTCAGATGCCTAAAATATCTCCTTATTGGTAGGTAGTATTTGTAGATTTATTACAGGATTGGCACTGTCAAAAGACACTGATTCTAAAGAAAACAAACACAAACTAGAATAGTTCATTAGCAGGTACTTGCTTTTGTGTCCACATTTTGACCTAGCTAGAATATGCTAGATACTGTCCTGTAATGGACTTTCAAAACAATTACTTGGTGGTTCTCTTTTGTACAGAGGACTTTTGTACATGTTTCCAAATATCAATACTAAAAGTAAAGACAGACGTGTTATGTTGAATTTATCTCCCCATATAATTCAAAATCTTAAGGAAGTTTTCTGTGTATTTTTAACTTAATATGGGGTATATCTGAGAAATTCAGACGTAGAATTTTTCAGTAGTCTTGAGATCCAATAAAAACAGTTTCTAGCATGGATACTATTTTTGTAAAGATTTAAATTCACAGTTAAGGTCAACATCTGGCTGAATTTAACATTCACATTTGACAGTTTTATTCTCATTAAAAAAAGGTTTAGCATTTCTTCAAAGCAGAAGCTTTTATTTTAATAAAGGTCTTCATATATTTGCTTTGTTCCTTGAGGGGTAGATTGGCATGCTTGAACTACTCTGTGCAGTTAGAATTTAAGGCCATCTCACTAGATAAGCCACTGTAGCAAATAAAATGCAAATGAAAAGGGCAAAGGGCAAAGTATAATGAGCAAGAGGATTTATTGTCTTGTCTACTATTGCCATATCCTTTGGGAAAATGTAAAAGTGGGAAATGAGAAATAGTTCTCTTTCCTTTCTCTGGTAAATTATGGTTGATAATTCAGCTATTTGATAACCGTATAGAATATGCTAACTGATTTCCCAAACTAGTTACTCTTCAATTTTATCTACACACATGTATCCATAGGTACTTTGGTTGCAAACAGCATCCATATGCTCAATGCATTATTTTTACTACTGAAACTACTAAATAGACCTGTGATAATACACATGTACACAGCCAAAATCCCCCTACATGTGCACACATGCACACACACACACACACACACACACAATTAAAGAGTCAAATTAATTTCAACTAGAATATCTTTATGAGAAAATATGTGAAAAAAATTCATGCAAAAATATATACCATTTATTGAGAATATGCTATGCACAAACTACGTATTTGTTATTTAATGTTTGTGGTCTCCACTACCCACAAGAATGTAAAAGTTAGATACCACTAGTGCCATTATACAGATAATGAGACAGAGGTGTATACAGATAAATTAAACTAGCTTAACAGATTTAAACTTACTTTGTCTTACTCCCAGTCCTATTTTCTGTTTACTGTAACACTTTGACATATGGAATATAGCTAATGGAGAATTTGAAAACAACTGGATATCAGCCTGGAATCCTCTGTAAAGATGAATGCAAGTCATTGACTGAATATATGATGTTTCATGCCTCACATGCACATAAGCAGCAACTAAAGAGCCAGACTTCATTTCTTCCCTCTGTATGTACCAATTAGAGATCCTGAAATATTAATAAACTGGCTGATTTAGGAGAGAATACCATTACATAATTTTTTCTACATGTTGCTTGGAAGCAACAAACATATCATGGGCACTCAATAAATGTTATTTAACAGCAACTAATAAAATGAAATTATGGTAATATATTTTGTAATAAACTCACCATAAGATGAAGCAAAGTAAGTTTTAGTGCTAAACCTGGAAGCTGAGCAGATTTCAATGGCTGGGTAGGTGAGTGAATCCTATGGGGACGCAAGAGACGCTAACATGATTGTGATAGAAAAGATTAATAAGAGGTCAGATATATAAAAGTTTTTATTGCAGTTTGACAACTGGAGCTGCCCTTCCTGATTTTCATATGTGTTATATTCATCTAACATTCAAAAGGCAAATTAAAGGATATTTTGCTAAGCTGATACCCTAGCTGTTCCACACTCAAACATGAAGTGACTCTATTTCATTATCCATTGGCATCATCATTGGTATGATTTTGAAAGAACATAAAATATGCTCCCTGAAATACTGTCTTTTTTCCCTCCTGTGTCTCCTCTAGCACATTGTTTGAGATTTTCAGAAGAGTCAGTTGTAAGTTTTTTTAAAAAAAAAAAAGTAAAGAAGGAGAGAGGATGTTAAATCACTGTAACCTCTGAAAGTCATAAGCCATTGAATTGTAAAACTCTAAGACATTCAGGAGTATATGTAGTTTCAGAAAGTGCACTTCTGTAGATTTAAATCAGAGCTGCAAGTTATTGGGGGAGAAACCAGACTGGGAGCAATCTCACTTTTTTATGTTTTAAAGTAAGTGGAGGAAAAAGGTTCCACAAAGGAGAGAAAGCTTGCCAAATGGAGGAACCCGTAGGGAAACTTTAAGACTCTGTTCCTCAATTCCTGTAAAGTTCATGAAAAAAAGAAGCACTTAAAAGTACTCTTTGAGGACTCTATACTCTTTTCTCTTTTCCATTTTTTTTTTTTGCCTTTTACAATCCCTGTGAGGATAAGAGAAAATGCACTTAAAGTTACTATTTGGGTGACTCAATCCTTCTCTCTTTCCTTTATTCTTCTAATAGTCTTTCCAATGCTCCAAAGAAATTAGAACACACTTAACAAGTGCTCTTGTGAAGCTCAGCCACCATTTCCTCTCTTGAAACTGTTATTAACCCACTGAAGGGAACACAAACTCTGTTCCAGTCCAAATACAGCAGCAGGTACACCATATTCCAGGTCAAATATACTTGTTATTCTAACCATTTTCATAGTCATTTTAACACAGAAAAACACCAATGACATGATAGATTTCACTCATCCTATTCACAAAGTAATAAAACATTAATAAAAAAATCAAAAGCCCTACTACTACATGTTTATAAGCTTACTGTGATTATTATATGCTTCTTTTCTATTCTACTCTCTCATTCTCTCTCTGATACAGAGCAAACACAGAAACCTTTAACTTTTCAGGAACAGACACAGAAGTCACCTTTGCTGTTCTAAGATATCATAAGTGTAATAGGATACATTTCAGTTTAGAATAGGCTTTCTCCCATTTTATTGGTTCTGTTGATATTCAGAAGTTTTTCAGCTTTTAACATTTTGCTTTGCTGAACAGTTATTGTACTTCTATGAAACGCATTGAGGTTTTCACTAGGAGAACAAAGTTAAATAATAATTTTACAGTGTATTTAACTAAAACTGCAGCAATCAATTTTAGTAAAATCCTTTCAAACTCAAAAATAAATATCTTTAAGGCAAACAAAGTATATCAACATAATATCCTCCAAAATACTTCAACTGAAGTTTCTTTAAATTAAATACTTTCATCATTCAAATATTTATATATCATATGCATCCATTTTATCAAAATAAATAAAAGCATTTGATACGAAGTTTGTATTTGGGAAAATATAGAGAAAATATTATGGTTGTTTTAAAAGATTCAAAAATTCATATGGATAAGTGAGTTTCCAAAGTACATATTTTTCTTCATTATATTTTGCAGCTACAAAAGGAAAATCCTCAAGAGAATTAATATGAACTTATGATAATGCAGCCTGCAGCACGGTTTTGTTATGATTTTTCCTGTTTCTGCTGACAATGCAATTCAAACTATATTGTACTAATCTTTAGTAAAGGAATCAGATTATTTCACCTATAAACATGCAGCAATAAAGTGTCATTCTTTAGTCAATACTGACTACTTAACATCTTTCTCTTTTTACAGGTTTGGATCCCTAGCTCATTAGATTATTACCTGATAAAGAAGAGAAGGTAATGAATTGAGAAAATAACTACGTACCTTCAGAGAAAATCTGCCCGATAACAATAATCCATTAGAAAACTGGCAATATCCTCTGATCTATTGCCCGCAAAGCCATGACTTGATGGAGAGTTTCATTCCCTGGGCTCAGTTCTCCAGAAGAAAATCAGCACAATTTAAATATTTCTTGGAATGTGACAGCTCTCTAGATCCCGGGTTGCATTCTGTTCCCCTGGGACGGCAATCTGGTGTTCCTGTGTGCATAGAGCAGTGAAGATGAATTGAAAACACTTGAGATAAATTAGGAATGGCTAAGTTAAAATTGTCTCTGCTCCAGACTCTCTCATCTGCAGTCTGCAAGCCTGTTTTTCTGTGAAAAAGCTAGATGGCAGGCTGCCTCAGTAAGTTCTTCTTAAGCGACAGAGAGCATTTTCAATGAAGAAAAATTCTCCCATTATCTAAGCTAATGTGACTGCTGCTAAATCTAGTTTTTAAAGTGTCTGCTGGCATGAAATTCATTTTCACTATTGCTTTCTTTCAAACTAGTTTAGAATCCATACTATCAGGCTATATAAAGTTCTATCTAACAGAAATATTTGAAGTTTCAGTTTATAAATTAAATCTTATCTCTTTTTTCAGTTTAACAGTCATTTACGTATAGGAAATTGTCTCTTTTGTCCCCAAAGATATTTTATTGTATTTTATAATATGCAGAAGGTTTTGTTTTAAGTTGTGATACATCAATATGAATACTTGAATTTTTATTAACAATCACTTATTTTAATGCAGATTCAGAGAAGTATTGTCATGTTTAGAGGTCAGTCAAAATTCAGAAGTTATATAAAAATAGAAAAGGAAATTTCTAATCACAATATGTGACCAGAGAGGTAAATATAGACACTTTCAATATCCTCCTCAGGAAAATAAGATGTTCCAAATGAAACCAAGGCTCATAAATTATTTCTCTTCTAAATAAAAATGAGCCATTTTGACTTCTGTTGATTTCATTTCAGTGACATGTCATGATACAATAGTTTTTTCTCTAAGTTAGAAAATTATTTTAGCATTTCCATAATATTCTGGATTTGAGACATAAATACACTGTACTAGGTTTACTGGCAATACACAAACATTTAAAGTTTATCAGAATGTTTTGTTCCACTTCTTTACTTGTATTTGTCATACAAAACAATTTTTACATAATCAAAAAAGGACACTTACAAGCATCATAGTCCATGAAAATCTGTACATTAAAAAATCCCTGCTGGCCATAAAAACAATCTCATGTTTGCCATAGGATTCAACATGACAATCTGTAATGCTCCATGTCTATATGACAATTAAGCAAACTGTTGTTTCTATGACAAAATTAGGTCTACACATTGTGAGACAAACAATATAATCACCTGAGAGTCAACAAAAAAGTAAGTAAGAATTTTTCTTTTTTCTCCACCTACCCTATAGCTGTAGCTAATAACTTCATTCAGGGAAGTAGAGAGGAGAAAAAAAAGGAGAAATAAAATGAAACACCACAGCAAGATGCCTTCAAACCTTCTACCTCTTGAGAAGAGGCATCACTGGAGCTATTTCAGAAGAAACACAAGGAGATTGGAAAGAAGCAGCTTCAGTATTTCAGTTAGAAACTAAAATTATCTGGCATATTTTAAAGAAAGAAAGGAAGCAAGCAAGCAAGCAAACTATTTATTGGCCTCAATTGCTATTTCTAAAATTCCCATGGTGTTCAGTGCCTAAAGATATAAAAATCATCTAAAAAGATAAAAGTATATTTAATAATTGACAGTTGATTGAATATCTAACTGCATTGCACTGATGTGCATTGACTACCTTAATTAACATAATAAGAAACTACAGCAGTAAATGAGATTCTTTTTTCTTTTTTTAAGCATCGCAGGATGATTGATCCAAATGGCCAAATAGGAATAGCTCTCGAGTGCAGTTCCCAGCCAGAAAAATGCAGAGGGTGAATGCCCACCACATTTCCAAACAAGTTTTCACTGCCTACAGACCAGGAGACTCCGGGCTGAAAAGCGCCATGAGTTTTCAGTACAGTGGTTTCAGCCAGTGCTGGGTTGGTGCACAGAAACTCACACAAATCTGGGCACCGTTTCAACTGGTGCCAGGAATATCTGGGAGACAGAGCAGCCCATTCAACTGAAAGGGAGGGGCAGAGACAGGGAGCCAGGCGATCTGGCTTGGCAGTTACCACCCCCACAAGACAACAAATCTGAAACACTCTAGACTGATAGTTTTCCAGCAAGTGCTGCTGGACCCAAGACAGTACAGTACAGTGGGAGAAGGGTGACCACCACTACCGAGGCAGTTCACACAGCAGCTGGGCAGAGCATGCTGGAGCTCAGCAATACCTCTGCTGGAAGACTGTGACTAGACTACTCTGTGCGGAGCAGGGTATCTATGAAAAAAGGCATCAGCAACTCAGAAACTTATAAATAATGCCAAACTTCCTAGGACAGAGCACCTGGGAAAAGAGGTGGTTATGAGTTCTGCTGCAGCAGACTTAAAGGTACCTGCCCAGCAGCTCTGCACAGAACAATGGAGCTCCCAGCACAGCACTTGAGCTCCTAAAAGGGACAGACTGTCTCCTCAAGCAGCTCCCCAACCCCCATATACCCAAAGATACATCTTATAAAGGAGAACTCAGGCTGACATCTGATGGGTAGCCTTCTGGGACAAAGACAACATAAGAAGAAACCAGCAGCAACCCTTACTGTTCTGCAGCTTCTGTAGGTGATCCCCAGGCAAGCAGGGTCTGCAGTGGAACTCCAGCAGCATTACAGCAGAGGGGCCTGAAATGAAAACTAAGAAACAGACAGAAATAGCTTTAACATCAACAAAAACTACAAAACCACAGGTGGATAAAGCCACTAAGATGGGAAGAAACCAGCACAAAAAGGATGAAAACACCAAAAACCAGAATGCTTCTCCTCCTCCAAGGGATCAAAACTCCTCACCAGCTAGGAATCAAAGATGGATGGAGAATGATCTGATGAATTGACAGAAACAGGCTTCAGAAGGTAGGTAATAACAAATTTCTCAGAGCTAAAAGAATATGTGCTAACCCAATGCAAAGAAACTAAGAACCTAGAAGCTCATCATCACTGGTTATTAGAGAAATGCAAATCAAAACTACATTGAGATACCATCTCATGCCAGTTAGAATGGCAATCATTACAAAATCTGGAGACAACAGATGCTGGAGAGGATATAGAGAAATAGGAAGACTTTTACACTGTTGGTGGAAGTGTAAATTAGTTTAACCATTTTGGAAGACAGTGTGGCACTTCCTCAAGGACCTAGAAATAGAAATTCCATTTGACCCAGCAATCCCATTACTGGGTATATATCCAAAGGATTATAAATCATTCTATTATAAGGACACATGCTCACGAATGTTCATTATGGCACTGTTTACAATAGCAAAGACTTGGAACCAACATAAATGCCCATCAGTGACAGACTAGACAGGGAAAATGTGGTAGATATACATCATGGAATACTAGGCAGCCACAAAAATGATGAGTTTGTGTCCTTTATAGGGACATGGATGAACCTGGACACTGTCATTCTCAGCAAACTGACACAAGAACAGAAAATCAAACACCTCATGTTCTCACTCATAGGCAAATGTTGGACACTGAGATAGACACAGGGAAGGGAGCATCACACACTGAAACCTGTGGGGGGGAACTAGGGGAGGAACAATGGGGGGTGAGGAGTTGGGGAAGGATAACATGGGGAGAAATGCCAGATATAGGTGATGAAGAGGAAGGCAGCAAACCACATTGCCATGTAGGTATCTATGCAACAAACTTGCATGTTCTTTACATATACCCCCAAACCTAAAATGCAATAAAATGTATTGTTAAAAAAGAAAGAAAAAAGTTAGATGAGATGCTAACTAGAATAAATAGCTTAGAGAAGAATATAAATGACTTGGTGGAGCTGAAAAACACAGCATGAGGACTTCACAACACATACATAAGTTTCAGTAGCTGAATCAACCAAGCAGAAGAAAGTATATCAGAGGCTGAAGATCAACTCAATGAAATAAAATGAGAAAGCAAGAATAGAGAAAAAATAGGGAAATAAATGAACAAGCCTCCAAGAAATATGGGATTATGTGAAAACACCTAAACTATGTCTGATAGGTGTACCTCAATGTGACAGAGAGAATGAATCCAAGCTGGAAAACACTGTTCAGGATATTATTCAGTACAACTTCCCCAACCTAGCAAGGCAGGCCACCATTCAAGTCTAGGAAATACAGAAAACAACACAAAGATATTCCTCAAGAAGAGCAATCCCAAGGCACATAATCGTCAGATTCACCAGGGCTGAAATTAAGGAGAAAATGCTTAGGGCAGCCAGAGAGAAAGGTCAGGTTATGCACAAAGGGAAGCCCATCAGACTCACAGCAGATCTATCTATCTGCAGAAATCCTACAAGACAGAAGAGAGTAGGGGCCAATATTCAACATCCTTACAGAAAAGAACTTTCAACCTAAAATTTCATATCCAGCCAAACTAAACTTCATAAGAGGAGAAAGAAAATCCTTTATGGACAAGCAATTATTGAGAGATTTTGTCACAACCAGGCCTGCCTTACAAGAGCTCCTCAAAGAAGCATTAAACAAGGAAAGGAACAACAAGTACCAGTCACTCCAAAAAGGTACCAAATGGTAAAGATGATGGAAATGAAGAAAATGTGCCAACTAATGGGTAAAGCATCCAGCTAGCATCAAAATGGCAGGATCAAATTCACACATAACAGTATTAACCTTAAATGTAAATGGTCTAAATATGCCAATCGCAAGACACAGACTGGCAAATTGGATAAGAAGTCAATACCCATCTGTGTGCTGTATTCGGTAAACCCATCTCATGTGCAAGGACACACATAGGCTCAAAATAAAATGATGGGGGAAGATTTATCAAGCAATGGAGAGCAAAAAAATGCAAGAGTTGCAATTCTAGTCTCTGATAAAATGGACTTTAAAGCAACAAAGATCAAAAGAGACAAAGAAAAGCATTAAATAATGGTAAAAGGATCAATGCCTCAAGAAGAGCTAACTAACCTAAATGTATATACACCCAATGTAGGTGCACCCAGATATATAAAGCAAGTTCTTAATGACCTACAAAGAGACTTAGACTCTGACACAATAATAGTGGGAGACTTTAACACTCCACTGTCA